GCGAATCACAGCTCGTCAGTCAGAGTACCGCCGCCAGATGTGGTTGGATGACTGGGAGAAGGTGGAGCATCGGCGGGACGAAATCTCCCGGTACCCTCGAGGACTCGCGGAGAAACAGGCGAGTCCAAACATCGACAATTGAGTCAATAATACTGTTTCCAAACATCTCTTCACCTTTATCATTCTTTTTCAGTTTTCTTGCAAATTAAAAGCAGCGAGTAACACTCACACAAGATTAATTATAATGAATTGTCTTAGTACCAGTTAAGGTTTAAGTGTCCGCTACATTCATTAAAAGTGTTTTAAGAATGAACGTAAGCGTGAAAAATGTGTGACCCTTGTTGTGTGTTTGGGACTTCAGAGGTCACGCAGGAAGGTGAAGTTTGCAGCTGTGGATGGCAGCAAGTGCTCGACGAGCTGCAGCAATACCGACACAGACGGAAGCAACAGAGAAACCTGAGACACAGACGCTTAATCATTCACCAGAAGAAGAAAAATGGACCTCAATGTGACATGCATGCAGATAACTTAAATTCATGATTTGTGCTTTTTGGTTTGTTAACTGTCAGCTGTTAGCTAGTTAGCCAGGCATGCTAATAATTAAAGCTAACATTACAGCAGCTAAATTCTTCTTCTTTTGGGTGGGAGGTAAACATGTTCACCTCCAGCGTAGATTAGGTGTTCAATGTCTGTCTCTCAGTAATTTATACTCCTTTAAATCCAATAAAATGAATCAAACATGTTTTACTTCTGGACTTTCTGGCGCCTCATGCTCACCACTCTTAATTTCCGTCATGATGCGTTGGGAAAGAAACACAAGATGCTGATTTAATGATGAACAATCTGTGAGGTGTAAAGGTGTCGCTATGTCCGCCACATCTCCAGGGGTGCAGCCAGCAGGGTGACAAGGGGGGCCATGGCCCTCCCTGAAATCTGATTAGCCACCCCAGAATCCATAACTATGATTGTTGGGTTACATCAGGCTACTTGAAGTTTTCTTGACATGTCAGTGTGAACATTTTTGTTTAATTCATATTTTGCACGTATAATTCACAAGACAGAGAAGAAGGAAGGCTTTCAAACTCTTGATGATGCCGAACCTGCAAGAACGCGCTAAAGACGTTACCCTGCTGCATTCTCACATCAGCTCACTCTGACTCTCTGCAGAATAAATACGAGGAGGCTGGAGGAGAAACTCCAGGTGAAGAGAGAAACATTCAGCTGTTTGTGTTTGCACATGACGCTCAGTACGAAACCCACCCCTACATAAGTCAGTTCCCCAGTTGGGCCCCCCCAGACCAAAAAGTCTGGACACGCCCCTGCCTTGTAACCTACTGTATATATTTTTGTTTAAAAAAACAAGACATTTAAAAGTGATATATTATTTTCTCCACCAGGTGGCAGTGAACACACATCTCTCCTTTGGTAATACAGCTGTACCAGTAAGAAGCAGAGAGAGAGAGAGAGGGAGATAGAGGGAGAGGGAGAGAGAGAGAGGGAGAGAGAGAGAGAGGAAGAGAGAGGAAGAGAGAGAGAGAGGGAGAGATAGAGGGAGAGAGAAAGACAAAGAGAGAGAGAGGGAGAGAGAGAGGGTGAGCGAGAGAGAGAGAGAGAGAGGAGATAGTGGGAGAGGGAGAGAGAGAGGGAGAGAGAGAGAGAGTAAGAGAGAGAGAGAGAGGAGGGAGAGAGAGAGAGAGAGAGGGGGAGAGAGAGGGAGAGAGAGAGACAAAGAGAGAGAGAGGGAGAGAGAGAGAGGGAGAGAGAGAGAGAGAGAGAGAAAGAGAGAGAGAGAGAGAGAGGTGAGCGAGAGAGAGAGAGAAGAGAGAGAGAGAGAGAGAGAGAGAGGGCGATAGAGGGAGAGAGAGAGAGAGGAAGAGAGAGAGAGAGACATAGAGAGGGAGAGAGAGGGAGTGAGATAGAGAGAGAGAGAGGGAGATAGAGGGAGAGGGAGAGAGAGGGAGAGAGAGAGAGACAAAGAGAGAGAGAGAGAGAGAGCTCACAGCAGCAGAAAGGAGATTCTGGTCTCATCACTGAGAGGACGTTTCATCCCTTGATTGTTTGCTTTTAATCATCAGGATCTCATCTCATCCACAGCTCCTCACCTACATTAATGTCCCATATTTACACGTATACTTCGTGTTGGAGCCAAAACATAGGTTTACTTTTTTACATTATATTTGCCTTGTTTGTAGGCTGCATGGTGGTACAGTGGTTAGCGCTGTGCCCTAACAGTGAGGAGATTCCTGGTTTGAATCCCTGTCTGACAGGAGTCTCTGTCTCTCTACAACTGATTGAATGTTGTGCTCAACGTTATAAGACTGAAACTGCTCTTTAGGGGTATCATCACATCACACCGGAGCCTTGAATCAGCGTCCAACACATGCACGGTATCTAACAGATATGGGACATGAACGAGTGATCAGGTGGATCCACTCTCTCAGTTTGTCCTCCTCAGACTGAAGCTCCGTCCTCCAGCTGCTCCTGTGTGTCGCTTCTCTCACTGAAGGAATGTTCATCCGTTTGCTGGTGAGACCAGTATGTGGAGTAAACATGCGGGACGTGAAGTGGAAAAGCCCTTTTTACAGCGTCAGTCTGTCCTGCTGCTGAGCACGGCTGGACGCCTCCTGAGGCCAAGAGAACCGAAGCATCTGGGACCAATTAAGCAGCGTCCATGCCCGACATCCCAAGCAGCTCCAAACCAACACTTCACTTACTCTATTCTGTTATTTTATTAAAGAAGTGACCTGTGACAGAGCTCTTTCACCAGAGATCAACATCCTAATAAGTTTAAATAAAGTCTGACCTCCTGCAAGCAGACATGATCGGCCTTGGTTTATTGGAGAGCAGAAATCCTTCCCTGTTTTATGACATTTCACTTTATTAAGATCAGAGGGAGCGGCACAAAGACCTGCTCCTCCAGCTTTATGAGCGCGGGACGTTACACAACAAACCGAGCTACAAAACACAAGTGGAACAATAACATGTGGACGCAGAAAACCAGCTTCACTGTGAGCAGGACGAGATCGGAGGATGTTACACGTCTGTGGTAGAGCCGCAGTAGAGTGACATCACACCGTGTGGTTTAAGGTATCTGGACTGAAAGAATCACAGGAGAAGTCCATACCTCGTCACACTAAAGAAAACCTGCCCATAAACGGGGGAAGAAAGATTTATTTTTTTCATCTATACTTCACTATGGCACAAAAATAGGTCTGATTAAAGTGTGGCACAGACGACCTTTACATTCATATTTTCTGATGTGGGAATTCTGCTTTTGTTAGCTGGACACATTTTAAAGCTCTGTAAACACAAACGAGTGACACAGAATAAAAAGACTTGACAGATGTTACTCTCTGTGCTGAATTTGTTCAAAGTTGTATTTTTCCAGTGTGTCGTGGAGCTTACTGAGTGTCAGGAAATAAAACGTCTGTGCTCAGACGTTTATTAAAGTTGCATGTCTGCTGCTCCGCCGTGTGGTTAACATGATCTCAGAGCAGTTTATTGTCTTGGCTGTGATGTCACCATGAAGCAGCTCGACTTCCCTCCTGTTTCCTGAACGGTGCACAGATTCATATTTCAGATCTTACCTGCACATTTATCATCAGAACAGCTTCACTCAAATGCACAACATTTAATAAACATATTTAAATTGAACTTATTAAAGTTCAGTTAGTGGACTGTTTCCGTCTGCACCCGCCCCTCGACAGTTATCACATACTTCACACACTCAGACGACACAGCCATGGTTTGACTTCTAAACGACAATACAGTAACTCAGCCACAGACTAGCAGCACACCATATCTCACTGCACAGACAACAAGCTCCAACTCATCGTCACCAAAACTAAAGAGGTGCTCATCTCTAACATACAGCCCATAACCCACATGCATCAACAAGGAAACTGTCGAGAGGTCATCACGTTCTGATAAGTCAGACTCACCCTGGACAATAAGCTGAGCTTTGATCAACACACCACTGACACTCGTTAACGCTGCCAGCTTAGACTCTTGGCCATCCAGCCCATCCTCCTGTACTGCTCACCCTGCCCCTTCAACATGCTAACTGTTGCAAACAAAAGTAAACTCACTCATATCACAAATATTGCTTCAAGAATCATTGGCCACCCAAACCCTCTCACATCTCAACTACAAAGACCCAACCCAAACAGAGTCCAGGACCCCTCTCACCCACTTATCTTCTCTGTTCTGGCAAATGGACTTGAGCTTGACCCTAACCCTAACACCGCAGGACACACCTACACATTCACACACTGATGGTAGAGGCTGCTGTGTAAAGAGTCCATCAGTATTAACTCATTCATACACGGCTGACAAAGCAGAGGGAGCAACTCAGGGTTAGGTGTCCTTCCCAAGCACACATCGGACATGTTGCTGCAGGAGCTGGGGATCAAAATCCAAGCTTCTGGGTGAGATATGATGGACTCTCCACTGCCTCTAATGAAGGAGTACTGATTACATGTGTTCACCTGTTTACGCCTAAGTCCTGTCTTTACACTTTCAGTTTATTTGAAAAGATTTGTATCCTCTTTTTGATTTACTCTAAAAACTCACTTTCAACTTTTATTTTGAAATTTAATTCACTTTAAATCTTTTTCTTTCCTGCCAAGCACGTCCCAGATAAAGTTGGTGCTGTTGCTGTGCTCATTGTTATCACCTGGTTTCGGTGTAACCCATGATTCTCCTCTGCTGGACTTTCGGACAGATGTGAACATCTGGTCGTCAGCGCCGCCTGTGTGATCACAAACACATGAAGGCATTTCCTGTTTGTGCACCGACAGCAACGTTAAAGCTCCTGTTTCGCAAAGGGACGGTGAAGTTAAAGATACCGGAGAGATCCCTGTGTGTGTGTGTGTGTGTGTGTGTGTGTGTGTGTGTGTGTGCAGCAGGAGGAGGAGGTGTGTTCACCACGCTCCTCCTCCTCCTCCCTCTCTCCTTCATCAGAGTTAAGAATCAGTGCTCTGCCTCCTCACACACTCTGTCAGTCAGTCTCTCTCACACACACACTCATGGATTATTACCTTCATCTCCTGCTGCTGCTGTGGACCTGCAGCCTGCTGCCAGGTGAGCTTCAACCTTCACATCAAAGCTCCTTGTTAGATAGAAAAAACACCTGTTTCCATGGCGACAGATTGATAGCAGCTCAGGGCTGCAGCCAGGTGTTCAAAGGGTGCACAGAGGGACGCTACAGGTGCAGAAATGATATATGATGATCAAAAGCTTTAAATAAAAGAAATACAAGATTTAAGTTTACAGATTCCTTTTTTAAGCACATTTAAACACTCTTGTTATAATTTAAAGTTATTTTAGTTGGAAAGTTGCAGAAAAGTGTTCACAGCCTTTTAAATAGTTTTTAAGGGTCCGCTTTTCCCCTGAAGAATGTTTTTAATTCACCTGTGGACTCTGTCAAAAAATTACCACCATTAATCCTCAGATCTTAATCCAAAGGCTTTCTCTTCTGGGTTTATGACTTAAAGGTCCAATCAGTAAGATGTGTGGTGAGTGAAATGATAAAGTGAGCTTACTATATGATCAGACATTAAGGAAACATGCTGGCTTCTCTGACAACAATGCAGCAGCCAGTATGTCCTCCTTCTAACTTTAGATTCTGGTCCTGAATGCTCTGGATTTGTTTGGACCAGAGAAGGTAGGCGCTTTTAAGGCACCCCACACGGCTGTTTTGGACGCCCCTCGGTTTGTCAGATATGAGAGCAGTTATCAGGTCAAACCAACAGGTGTTGCAGCGATGGAAGCGGGCAAGAGAACTGGTTCAGATAGAAGTGATTGTACCCGACCTAAAAAGCCTCTGCATGTTTCTAATAAGCTCCACGAGCAGAAACGTGCTCAAACTAGGATCAATATTGGAAATGCTTTTGAAAAATGGAGAGAGGTTAGAACACAGAAAGGTTTACAGACTGATGCAGAGCTGGCTAAACACTGAAGCACTGGTCTACAGCTTTGTAGAGACAGCTCTCTACAATGTTTAGAACTTGGACTGCAAAGTGTTTATGAAGGGTTGGAGATTAAATGCAGATGAGGAAGTGAAACAACTGCGGCTTAAAATGTTTCACTCACTTCCTTTTAAACGGGAAATTCAAATGAGTCAAATTTCATAAATAACATTTAAATGACTGAAACATGTTAAACAGTTTCCTCTGAACGGGTTAATCAGGTATTAATAAATCGAGTCATATTTTTTCATACTTTGTGGTTTTAATAAGCAGATTTCTTCAACAGCAATGAAACAAGCTCTAACGTCTGCAACATAATCCTCGGTTTCAGGCCGATTTAGACACGATTTTAAAGACGAACGACTACACATTGTTAGCTGTGCAGTGTACACTGAGGCCAGCAGTCGATCTCAAATGGATCCGCTGCTCCAGACCAGTCGGTTGATTTTCTGACATGTTAAATATTTTGGTCGTACGACTGCACACACTCAGACAAAGAGAGCAGAGCCACCAGCGGATTCCACAACTTTTTTTTTTCATTTCTACTGATTGTGCCTGCGCAAGTGACAGACAGCGTCTGAAATCACCATGGCAACAGCAGGCATGCCTGTTTTATCTGTCTTCCTCTCGCCTATCATTAAAGAAAATGTTGGCAGGAAATATCTGCAGACTCCAGCTGACGGGGTATATTAATTATGATTAAGCTGCTAGTTAGCTTGTGTCTATCAATGATGCTAAGTGAGAGAGAGAGAGAGAGAGAGAGAGAGAGAGAGAGTTTTTGATGGTGTTTATGAGAGCAGCTCTGACTTCAACCTGTGGAAGTGTTATGAGCGCTCCATTGTGATGTCACTCGTACGGTGCGAGCTCTCAGGTCTTTGTGAGCTCTGGTCGTGCACAGATTCAATCGTAAAGCATGAGCTGACATTACACTGCCACTTTCATACAAATCGCACTGTGTACGGCTGGCTTTTTTTTTAACATGTTGACAATCAAGAAATGCCTGGACAAATTTGAACAAAACATTTGGTTCTACTGGAGCTGCTGGAGCTGCTCATTTTAGAGTTTGGTTTTTGGATGTTTGGTTTCAAAGCATTACCAGATTGACGGATGCTGTCATGGATTGAGAACGAAGTGCAGATATTTTATTTATTTATTTTTTTAATAAGAAGGCTAGAGGCAAAATGCAAACCAAAAACTTAGAAGAACAACACCCAAAATGGGAAATGAGCAACAAGGAAACACTGGAAACACTAGAGACTCTGCCATTGCCGAACAAACTACACTCAACTTACAACAAACAATGAACTGACAGAGAAGGGCTGAAACACAGAGACTAAATAGACACAGGGGTAATCAGACACAGGTGAGACTAACAAGACACAGGTGAAGGCAATCAGGACAATGAAGACTGGAGGGAAACACACAAAGGCAGGATTAAAATACAAGAAACACAGAGGACAACTATAAAATAAATCAGGGAACACTGAAGACATACAAAACTCAAGAATATAACAATATACACTAGAAGAGAAACTTTACAAAATAAAAACAGGAAACACTAAAGACTACTAGGAAACATTAAGACCAAAACACACTAAACAAGCAACACTAGGATATACAGGAGAAACTAAAACATGGAAACCTAAACTCTTAAATACACACAAATGCAAAACTAAATAAGACCAAATCATGACAGATGCAACATTTTTATTCTGACCTTAGAATAACCTCCTCCACAGCTCTCTATTTTCCCGCTTCTCTCTGATCAGATTGTGTTTTTATACACTGAAGAACACACTGAAGCTGGTGTGTCATTATTCCTCCGGTTCCTGAACCTGACATGGACGTTTTTTAGATGTAGTGTTTGGGATTTTTTTCAGCCTGCAGGTCAGAGGTCACCGGCTGTGAGGCGATGGTTTCTCTGCAGGAACTCAGAGGCTGAATCATTCTTTAATGTTGTTGCTCTGAGGCGGATCATTAAACACATCAGTCATCGTGTTGATGTACCCGCCAGTCTGCGCCTGGTAGCGCCACACAGGAAGATGATGGCTCTGTTTTTATCCAGTTTGAGTTCACCTACTTCATGTCCCTGCCGGGTGGTGTTAATCATCTCTGCAGGTCCTGAATCCTGTTCATGTTCTTGATCTTCTCCTCCTGTGAACAGTTTACTCTCTCTTGTCTTGAACTCGTCTCATGTGGCGCTCCAAAAACATCCCTCGCTGCCAGCTTGGCATCACAGCTGCACTTCATAGTGACCACAGACGTTCAGAGTTTTCATTTTGTCTGTAACGAAGAAGCAGCTCCGCTTCAGGGAGCGAACAGGCCGATCATCACACTTTATTATATAACTGAAGAAAAGGAAAGTTTCGTCTGCAGGATGATCGAGCCAATGCAGAGACGTGTCTTCTTATGTAAGGAGAAAATCTCAAATTCAAACTTCATCCAAGACAACCAGAGTGAGATTTCTCTGTCTTTACTCGCTGATATTTACACCATCGTGTGTGAAGAGACACATTTTATGGAACAAAAAGAGTAACTTAAAAACTCAAGTATTAATGCACCAAAATGAAAACACTTCAGTCAAATCTAGACTTTTCTGTCTTTACTGTGGTCAGACTCCATGCTATAAGCACGATTAGAAGAACGTGTCGTGTGTCATAATGAACCACAGTCAAGGACACATCTGAGACGCTTCACGACCCTCTGAAAGAAAGTCCACCATGTTTGATTTTTTCCTGGCTTTTACGATCAGTGCTGTTGACCAATGAGAGCTCAGAGCGTGCAGCAATTGCAAAAGAAGCATAAACAAACCAAACAGCGTGTGACAGACGGATGATGAAGTTGGACCTGAGAGATGGATCTATGAGACAGAGGAAACGTCGTTTTTCCTCCCAGTGTTTACAGTCTTCTTTCCGGGTGTTGTCTAGCCCCGCCCCTCTTCCTTTCAACATCATCACGTCGGTCGTGGTGATTGGTTGGGTCATGTCTGTCGGTCAAGTCGTGGCACAAGTTCATGGCTCTGTGATCGCCTAATCTGACACAGCGAGCATCATAACAGACCAAAAGATGGTGTAGTCCAATCTCGGCATAAGAGGACGTCTACAAACTCAGTCATTCAAAGGTTCCTTTAGTTTCTGTTCATTTCCTCAAGATCTCGATTTATTTCCGTCGTCTCGAGATAACAACGCTGATTTTCCCGTGATAACTATTGAAGTTAAATTCTCCAGGGTTTCTTTAAGTAAGAGCATTATCAGTTACTAACCAGGAGCTCCGTTAAATATTTTTTCTGGAGTTTTTAAATGCAGCATCTGCACACACACACACACACACACACACACACACACACCACACACACACAGTCCAGGTCGTGTGTGTTGGAGCCGTGCAGAGCGCACAGAGGTGAAGGGTCATGGTCAGGCTGCAGGGATGCTGAGCCATCTGAGACGTCTGCCTGCCTGCTGGAGGAAGTGACACAGACGCCATTTGGCTGCGAGCTGCTCGACAGCAACTCTAAATCACTCCCATCTTTGACCTGATTTGATTTACTTCCTCCTGCTGCTGCGTCTGATTTTAAACCTGGCGTTTGCAGCTCAGGTTGAGTTTCTCTCAGAATATTATCTTCCATGATGCAGTAGCTTCAGCTGCACTTGAATCTGTTTGTAATTAGGTTTGGAGCTGAGGCACATCTGGAAAAATCTCCTACGTATGAACGAGGGTTGTCAAGATACCAGATTTTTAAACTTAGGCTGAGAGCATGTTAATGTCTGCTGTAAAGAAAAGTTCAACATGGGCTGTGGATGAGACTTCTGGTGCTTCTGCCTCAAGTGGACACTCGATGAACTGCAGGTTTTTGCACTTCTGAATCGGCATTTTTCAACACCTCAGATTGCTGCTTGGCTAATTCACCTTGTTTTTATGAAGTTTGTTTACCAAGTTGGTCACCCTGAAACATTTAGTATTGAAAATAGTGAAGTATCGGTAATTTTGAGTCACAAAGGCTTCTTGTCTGCATTGAAAATGATGGAGATGTGTCATGAGAGCCTGAGAGGATCATCTGAATCGATCAGCTCACGGAGAGGCAGCAATAAGAGAACGTCTGACTTCTCTGCTTGG